GGCCACCCCTCCCCCCGTCACCCCTGCAGCCCTGACCTCACCCAGGAAGCCCAGCGAAGAGTTTCCACTGCGGTGGGCTCCTTCAAACCCGGTGGCCTCACGTTCAAATCCGAATATCTCTGGTCCGAGTATCAGAGTGGTGGAGTAGCCATGGGCAGCGTTTAACCCGCTAATGGCCATTTCACCCAGGATCCGATGACAGCATTCCAGTCTCAAGGAACGTGACAGTTGACACACCCCTACGTCCACTGAAGTTGCCTCTCCCCGAATCTTTCACTCCCTTGGTTATTATTAGTTTTCCTTCTATTTTGTTTTCTGAGTGTGTGCCCTCTCTTCTCTGGCCCTCTCTATCTGTTGTATAGGTTTAAAAAAGAAAAAAAAAAAAAAGAAAAAAAGACTTGATTTGAATATTTCTGTCTGCAGTAACGTTCCTTGTGCAGAGCTGTGGTTGCCCATCCATTCCTGGCCCACGTGGGTGCCCAGCCAACCACAGAAGGAGGGTCGCCTCCCCTCCCAAAGGGAAAGGCAGAGTGGGGCCTGGCCCTGGCCCTCACAGCTCCCTGGGAACCTGCTGGGGGACCGCCACAGGCGCTTCTGCCTAAAGTGAAAGCTGGCCACTCCAGCCAGGGGGCTCGCTGCCCTGCCCTGGAACCCAGCCAGCCTCGGAGAACTTACCCGGCCGATCCAGGAAAATGAGATTTCCATTTATGGACATTTTCCTTTACCATGAAGATCAAGAGGAGTTACCCGCCCTGCTACCTCCCCACCCTGACCCTCCCCTCTGCCCCCCCCCCCCCATGGCTTTATTTTACATTTAAAAATGCTATGCAGGAGCTGACGTCACGGGCGCTGGCTGGGGAGATTAAGGGCAGGGAATCGGGTCTGATGTCGGCATGTGAACAGCCAGTGCTTCAGTTTTTATCGCAAGTGAGCGAACGCGGTGACATGCCAGACATTCCTTCCGAAAGTGAACTGAGGTAAAGATGGCAAAAAATCAACATGTCACTTGCAATGCTATTGGGGAGGCTGGGGTGCAGAGGTGACAGCTCTGTGAAGTGACTGACAGGGTATTGTGAACAGGAAAGTCCCCGGGGCGTGAGGGGCGGGGTGAGTGAGGGGCGGGGTGTGACTGAGCTGCAAAGGAAACAATGGACCCCGGGGACTTCCAGGGCCTCCGCCTTCCGGCCCTGCCGTGGAAATGCCCCAGGACCTTTCCGCCTGCAGGCCTGGAGAGCTTCTGCCTAGGACATTGTCCCCACTGATCCCAGGGCTTAGCCTGTAGATGAATGTGACAACTCGGGGGACGAGAAGAGGAAAATTCCAGTGCTGACTTCCTAGAGCAGAATCCGAAGACAAGTTTGAAGTGCAGGCTCCTAAGCAAACATTTCAGAGAAGCATCTGTTAAGCTTTGTAAACTGCCCAAGCAGGCAGAAGAAGGGTCCCCCCCTGCAATTCTTGGGTGGTATTTCTGCCTGGAGACCCGAGACGGCCTTCTGCTTGCAGCTCCTGAGAGCTCATCAGAAGCAGCGAGACTCAGGGTTGGACGCCCTATGTGCTCTGCTGTGCTGGGCATGCCACGACTTATGCAGACGCTGTTTCCGGTTCTGGGTTTGAATTTGCACATTCGAATTAACGTATCATCTTAATTATCAAATAGTTTTTTTTTAAAGCTTTTTCTCTTATTTTTATACCAGTTTTGTTGCGGTATAATTTATATACAATCAAAGGTATCTATAATCAAAGGTATCTATTTTAAATGTACCATTGGATTATTTTTGACCACTGTCATATTTCAGAATATTTCTTTCATCTCCACAAATTATCCTCATTGCAGTCAGTCCCCTATCTCTGGTCTCCACTAAATTTGTTTCTTTTCTTATAGTTTCACCGCATTTAGAAGTCCATGTAAATAGGATCACATAGAATATGTTTTTGTATGTGTGTGCACAATGCTTTCAAATTTACCCATGTCCTATATGTATCAGTGATTCATTCTTTTTTATTATGTTTTTTTTTTCTACATTTTTTTTGTGTTAAGGTATCCATAATCAAAGTTACCACTTCTACATGTACATCAAATTGACTTTCATTTGGATTTGGAAAAAAAAAAAGATTTATTTGGGTCATGTGGAAAAGCAAATCGATTTTTGTTGCCTTTTTGAAAAGCATGTGTTAATTGAAGTTGGTCATAAAAATATGTTTACATCCATCTGACCTTTACAGCTTCCTTGAAATAGAAGACCCCACCCTGCCATGTTTAAAATGAAGTTGTAAATGCACAGATTTTGAGCCATTTGTCAGGCTAATCTGAATGTGAAGGAAATCTCCAGATACTAGTATATAGCAAAAATACAAGTTTCTTAACAACTTCCAGGTAAATGGTTATAGTTGGGACATAAGCCTGGGTTAGACCAAGAGTTCCACAGAAGTTTAACATAATGATGTAAACATAAAAATATGTAAATATTTTGAATAATTTCAATTAGTAAAAGATTAGAGCAAAAAAAACTTCCATCTTTCTCATATAGTTGTCAGTAACTATAACAAGGAAAAACTGACAGTGCTTAGTGATACTAAAAGCAACAACAACAACAATAATATTTTATTACAGCTTACTTTTATAGTGTATATTCTATGTCTGATGCTGCTCTGAGCTCTAGGTAGGTCATTAATTCATTTCATTTTCCCGTCAACATTTCCAGGTGAGTGTTCTATTATTATCCACATTCTACAGATAAAGAAACTGAGGCGCCGAAACTGGTTTGGTTCAGTGGATAGAGCATTGGCCTGCAGATTGAAGGGTCCCAGGTTCGATTCCAGTCAAGGGCACATACCTTGGTTTCGGGCACATCCCTAGTGGGGGGGGAGGGGGTGCAGGAGGCAGCTGGTCGATGTTTCTCTCTCATCGACATTTCTCTCTATCCCTCTCAATTCCTCTCTGTGTAAAATCAATAAAATATATTAAAAAAAAAAGAAAGAAAGAAAGAAAGAAAGAAAGAAAGAAAGAAAGAAAAGAAACTGAGGCTCAGAGGAAACTAAGTAGCCTGCCTTGCTGAGAGCCAGGATTTGGCCCTGAGATTCTGCTCCAGAGCCTTGATGTTTGACTATTAGAATACTCTTAACCCCAGTAGTGCCCTAGAGAAAAAATTTCAAATTAGCAAAGGGAGCTGATATTGTCCCTGAGCGAGGCAGGAGATTAAGCCAGAGTGGAGATTGCAAGCCTGAAAGAGACAAATTATTTAGATGGACAAAGAAGCCCAGAACAAGGCCACGAGAAGAGGTAGCAACTGAGAAACACGGGCGCATCCTCTTTACAGGAAAGAGGTTGCTGGCTGGCCTGGGGCCCAGGGGCCTGCTGGGTCCAGGTGACCTCTGGGGGTTCTTTCAGAGCAAACATGTGAGGAAAACCAGAATTCTTTGTTCAGAGTTCATTGTGGTTTGGCTTTATTGACGTGGGCCAATAGCCCACAATCTGCTAGGGGTGTAACAGATGTTGACAAGTAACCATTGACTGCATATTGAGTTCATTCGATATTGTGAGTTTGTCTTTTTTATTGTGCTTTGTAATCGGACCTAACAAAGGGATTATGGACTCCGGAACTAGATCGCCAGGTTTTGAATCTTAGCTTTGCCACTTATTCACAGTGTGACTTGATCTTTCCAGGCCTCTGTTTTATCATCTGTAAAAAGGGGAAAGGAATAGTACACCTATTTCATAGTGTTGTTTTGAAGACCAAAAGCGTTATTATGTGTAAAGGACTTATCGCAGTGATGACAAATAGTAGGTACAATATATGCGATGGCTATTATCACTATCCAAAAATGATGATAGATGCAACTATCTATCCACCCTTTAAGATAGAATGAACAATCGTGATCTGTGCTAAAATGAAATTGCCCTTCCAGATTTATTTCGGAGGCCTTGCTCCTGGTCCTGCTGGACTGTGGGACATTGCACAGCCCTGATGGGTGGAAATACAAGGAGCAGAGGGTGCAGGGACTGGAAAGGGGCAGTGTTGGACGCACCCAGATCCTCCATTCTCTGGCTGTCACTCACTTCACCTAGCACAGTGGGCTTGGGTGATACTCACGGTGGGTCTCAACAAACCTCTTTGAATGGGTCCATAGAGAATGGTTACAGAAATAGGGTCTAGGTAGGATGTAAAAGGAGTAATAAATCCAGATCCTCTTTCTTACACAATTCAACAAAATACTTATTTGGCACCCACTGTGAGCTAGAGGCTGTACCATTATTAGGGAGGTCCACCTGTCCCCAGGGGACTTCATGAGCTGCTGGCCCAAGTGATCAGGAAGTTATGGGGACCCAGGGGGCTCAGGGGGGAGAGGGCTGTTGGTCCCAGCCCATGATGGTGAGGGAAGGAAGGAGGTGTCAGCAGATTGTGTGGGCTGGGATCCGTGTTTCCGAAAGAGGCTGAGAAGAGGACCCTGTTGTAACTCTCCTCCGACTGGCCTGTTCTCCTCGGTGCCTCTTAGACCACAGCTGATCAGGGCTGCCAATTCCTTTCTGAGTGTGCGCACTTGAGGCCGGACCTCCCAGTTTGAGGAAGGGGCGGTCTGCTAGCTCCCTCTGCACCCCTGGACCACCCCGGGAGAGGAGGAGGGCCCTGGCACATTCCTCCCCAAGGATCCCTGGGCCGCAGCAGCCTCCGCACGCGCCACACCCTTGGCTGGCCCCGGCCAGGTGTGCGCGCGAGGGGGGGAGCCCGCGGCCCGGGGTGAGCGCTTTTACAGCTTGGCTGCTGCTGTTTGTCTGCCTCCCGAGGGCTGGGTCCTCCTTATTCACAGGTGAGTCACACCCTGAGACGCAGGCTCTCTTCCTGTCAGGACTGAGTCAGGTAGAAGAGTCGATAAAACCACCTGATCGAGGAAAAGGAAGGCACAGCGGGAGTGCAGAGTGAAAACCACCACCGGCCGCCAGGCGCCACAGGCAGCGACCCCTGCAGCAGTGGACGGCGCGCCCGGCCCGGCCCGGCCCGGCCATGCCCGCGCTCTGGCTCAGCTGCTGCCTCTGCGTCCTGCTCCTGCCTGCCGCCCGGGCCACCTTCGGGAGGGAAGGTGAGTCGGTTCCAGGAGGGAAGCTCGCAGCCCTGGGCTGCGGACTGGCCGTTCTGTGCAGACAGGGAGGCTGAATGCACCTTGGAAGGTGCCCACTTTGCCCAGAACCTCTCTGAGCTCCCGCCTCCTCCCTGCCACCCCCATTGGGGCTTTTCCAGAGATGGAGTTTCCACAAGACTAACATTACTATGCAAAGCTGTCTGACTTAAAAACAATTGGGAAGCCAACAGGTGTGCCAAACCAGGGGTTTCCTTACTTTAAGCATGCTCTTTGATTTTTATTTTTATTTTATTATTTGTTTTTTACCACGGGTTCCCTGTGCAATGACTAAATGTTGGTGCCTAAACGCTTTTCTCATTGCGTGTTTTTGCTGTTGGGATTTCGGCGTGAATGTTCTCTGTGACGGAGCACCACGAAGTTTGAAAATGAACCTCTTCTGTAATCCTCCTTCCATAATTCCTGTTTCACCTTTGGGATGGAAAAATGAGCCTCTTGAGTCTTCCAGATGCCTTGCTTTTGATTAATGTTACCTTTTATAGTGTTTTCCTACAGCAATCACTCAGCAGGCATTTCACCATAGATCACTGGATCTTATCTGGGGCTCCCCGTGGCTGTCATGCCCCGAGAAGTTCAGCTGATATAAACAAAACTCGCAGGCAGCCTAGCAACCACCTACTGTATGCACGTATCAGTTATGACAACACATAACGGGTGTTTTCCTTGTCACTTAGTCTCACCACTGACACTTGACTGGGTAATTACCCTGAGTTTTCGTATTTATATTGCTTCCTGCACCTGATGGCATTCCAGCAGTCATTTCAATGGGGCTAAGAGGCATTTTCACACGTGAGCATGAATGAACATGAGACGATGTTCATGTGCACTGTGGGCTCATCTTAGATGTTCCATTTATTATTGTGCGTCTGGGTAAATGCTGGCCTGAAGGGATGTGAATGGCAGGGATATTTTAGCATGTGTTTCAAAGCTCTGATACGGTCCTTTTGGTTTTGTTTCTTGTTTTGTTTTTCTAAATTGGTTTTGGGATTAACTTCCAACTCATCATCATGACTCTCCTTTAAAAAACTATTTATGAAAATGGTCACATAGGTTCCATTCCCTCAGAGTTAGGATAGGTAGTCTTAAGCCAGTGGGGAAAAAGCATTGTAAAAGTAAGCATAGTCTCTGAATATTGGAATATACAAAGGACTTTTTATAGATCAACTGTTAGAATCTGGTGGCTTAAAAAAAATGAGAAAATGGATTTGCACAGAACCACAAAGGCAGCTGTTGGCAGAGATGGAATTGGAACTTGATTCAGGGTTCTTAGACTGGAATTTTTGGGACCACATTACAAAAGTAATAAGGAAGCAAGGTACATATTTACCTAATGGGTAATTATTGAAGCAATTTTCCCCTTGACTATGGTTAAGTATGCATGTGTAAGTGTGTGTGTGTGTGTGTGTGTGTGTGTGTGTGTGTGTGTTAGCATTAGATAGTAGAAACAAATGTGTGTGATCTTATCAATTCTTTAATGAAATCAGACTCAAGTGGACAGAGCTTGTTCTGTCCCTTCTCAAAGACAAACCAGCTCTGAGCATTCTGTGTAGACCGTTAAATTCAGGCTCATTTCTAGAACTCCCTCTTCTTTGGGGACGGACTGCTTAAGACATTAGACTCCCTTTCCAAAAGGCATCGCCTTGGGGTTCAGTGAGATTGCGGGAAGTTTGGTATGCAGGTGTTGCACTCATGCTTGTCCACTCCTGGGATGTTGGAATGCAGCAGAAGTTGGGTTGAAGGTATGGTACTTTGCCATCTCCCTAACCTCCCACATCTGTGCATCCTCTGGTCTACACCTGTGAGTCCAAAGCAATGACATTGCTTCTAGGTTGTTCTCTCAAAGGTGAAGTTATGGTGTTAGGTGTGATCAGCAAGAATTTCAGGGATGGGCTCAGCTAGAGCACATGGTTCAGAGGCAGCCTGACCTGTCTTCAGATTTTATCTCATTCACTTACTCTTCTACTTCCTTATAAGTAACCTCAGCCACTCAGAGTCTGCTTCTTCACCTGTTAATTGGAGGCAGCAGTACTGTGCAGTCCCGTAGAGCTGCTGAAAGGATGAGAGATTATTGTAAAGTGCCTCAAAATGCCTGGAACCTTCTTTCTTTTAAAAGTCTAATGCTAACTCTAGCTGACGGTTTGGCTCAATGGATAGAACGTCGGCTTGGGAACTGAGGGGTCCTGGGTTCGATTCTGGTTGAGGGCATGTACCTTGGTTGTGGGCATATCCCCGGTGGGGGGTGTGCAGGAGGCAGCTGATCGATGACTCTCTCATCGATGTTTCTAGCTCTCTATCTCTCTCCCTTCCTCTCTGTACAAAATCAATAAAATAATATATATATTATTAAAAAAAAAGTCTAATGCTAACTCTATAGGCATAATGAACTCGGATGTCTGGAGATCAGTAAGGAAGAGAAATACTCCCCTCCAGCAGCTCACAGTTGGTGGGAGAGAATGTGGCTCCAATGGTCTGGGTCAGAGTTCCCATGGGGCGATATGACTGGAGAAGAGGCTAGAAGGAGACTAGAACTGTAGCCAAGAATCTGGTCCCTAAGAGCTTTACATGCCAGGCTGTGCAATTGGGATGGTGTTCTGTAGGCAAAAAAGGGTTGCAGGTGGTTTATAAGCAGGATATAGGCAAGGCCACTCCCTAAGAGGCTTACAGGATGGAGGTGAGCTAGGAGAGGCCAGTGAATGGCCATTGCAAGAGTAAAAACCGGACAGTCAACAGAGATAATTCGAAGGTGCAAAAGTGTGTGTTAGGGATACCAGTAAGGGAAAATTGTGAGGAATGAATCCAAGAATGGGTCCAAGGCTCAGTTCCTGTGATTGATTGTTTACACAGTGATAACATGAAAGGAAATGAGGACTGTGAGAGAGTATGAGATTTGGGAGCAAGGTTGAGCAGTGGAGAGGAGGGATGGATTTCTGGGGGCACCTGTTGAATTTGATTGAGATGAGAGTAGAGATGTCCAAAGACCCTGGGTAACAGCTGGAACTATGATTTTTGAAGTTTAGAAGAAAAGTTTGAAATACACAGTTGGGAGCCCAAAGGTGGAAAGCAAAGCCTTGCCAGTAGATGAGACTACCTGGGAGACAGAGGTAGTCTCAACACCTAACAAGGGGATGGGAGAACAATGAGGGAGAATCAGGAGGGATGAGCACCAAGGAGAAAAGAGTTAAGAAAGAGGTGTGTTTTGTTAGGCAGCGAGTTAAGAGTTTCGACAATGTAGGAGTAACAACCGGTATTCAGATTTAAAAATATGAATATACAAAGACGAGGAGTAAAATACACTGTTGGATTCAGCCATCAGGTAAGTTTTGAAGCAATTGTTCTAGAATAGTGAGCTCAGTATCCAAAAGTATTATAGATCACCAATGTGGTTTTTCCCCTGGCCTGGTACTGGAAAAGAGGTGCTATCGATAGTGGAAAGGATCTGTGGAAAGGTTTATACTCCCATGGATTCTGTTATTTAAATTGTTTAAGTAGCATCATGCATAAGAGTGCAGGCTCTGGAGTAAGACTGCCTGGGTTCAAATCCTTGGTCCGGTGTGTACCAGAGCTGGAACTTAGCAAGCTAGCACACCTGCTACTCAGGCTCCTCATCTCTAAGATGAGCACTTTGTAAAAAATTGAAAAAGAAAAATCTTTACCTTATATTCAAGTGTGTACAATAAACAGGAGTCTAGAATTGGGTTGGAGTGTAAGTTAGAAATTTTCATACAGCTTAAACTCTGGGTGTCCTGGGTTGGGGGAGCAGCCACTGGTTTAGCTCCGCTGGTCCGAGAAGCTGAGGAAGAACGCTGATTTGTGACCAGTGTTCATGGGAAAGACAGGAGCGTGAAATTAAAGTGTCAATCCCGGGAATATTTGTTCCATTTGTTTTTTTCTTTGCAAAAAAGCTTTATTGTTTCATTTGGTCCAGTGCCTAGGAGAGGGCTTCAGGGTGGTTAAAAGAATGGCCAGTAGTTTCGGGGAGAGGCTCAGGCAAAAGGCAGACACTGGGGAGGGGGGGGTGGTGGGGGAGGGGGTGTACAGATGGTCCCCCAAAGGCTTCAGGGCTCCACAGGCTCCTAGTCCTGCGGGAGGGGGAGCCTTTCCAGTAGACACTCGCCCCGCCCAGCCTGGGGGCCGTAGCCTGCAGAGGGGGCCAGGTGTGGCCCATCTTCCTGAAGAGTTTCACCTCCTCACCCGGAAGTGGTTCTGCAGGAAGTCAGAGCTGAGGGTCAGTGTAGGCAGAACCAGAGCTCCCAGGTCCAGAAGGGCCTGGGTCAGGCTCCCCCCCAAGGCCAGGGCGGCCTCCCTGGCGCCCTGAGTTCTGCCCGCTCATCCTGGGGGCCTCAGTACATCCTGGGAGAAAGGGAGGCCACCGCGCTGGGTTTGCAGCTTTACCAGACCGCTCAGAGCCCTCTCCCTCTCCTCCACCAGCTCGCCCAGAGAGAGGTAGGTGCTGGCGGCCGCAAAGGCTCCCTCTCCAGCACAACTAGGAGCCTGTGGAGCCCTGAGGCCTTTGAGGGGACCATCTGCAACCCCCCCCCCCCCGCCCCGACCCCCCAGTGTCTGCCTTTTGCCTGAGCCTCTCCCCGAAACTACTAGCCATCCTTTTAACCACTCTGAAGCCCTCTCCTAGTCACTTCCAGGGGGTTGATGGCAGCCTCCACCTCAGGGGGATAATTCTGACGAATTTGGGAGCTCATGGTTGTCCGGCGATAAGGGAAAGAAGCCGTTGTGCTGGCTGGTCCGGAGGTGGTGCTGAAGGTGGTGCCTGGATAAGAGATGGAGGGTGGCCAGAGGCTGGGAGAAGGGGCGGCCCTGGGTCTGTTCTTCCAAACACTGTTGGAGCAAGAGGCATATCTGGAACCATCGAGGGCACTGCTCCTATTTAAGTTTCTTGGTGGCTCAACTGTATGGCTTCCCTCCTTGCTCCTCGCTCCTTCCCATTG